CATTTCTTTATACTGTTTACCAATTTATCATATGTGTCGCTGCATTTCTTCTAAAGGGAAATGGAGCAACTACGAAGGAAGGAAACATTTATCTTCTGAAGGACAGTTAATCTTCACGCAGGAGACAACAGGCTGAGATATTACAGATCAGCTTACATCATTTCAGGAAAGTAATGAGAGAGGAGAGACGGCAGAGAGAGAAATAACCCATCTACCCCTTTAGTCATTTTCAAATAGAGGCAGGGAATATGGACAGGTGAAAGCCATCAGTGAGTGCCAGCTTTATAAGTGAATAAGAGCTGGCTGGAATCACCCTATCTACCCTGCCAGCTCAGATTAGGTCTCTTATCTCTGCCAGTGTCCTCCTCCTTAAATATATCTCCAATTGGATTTGATGAACTTGAAGGCAGAATATATCCTCGATCCTCTGAAAGAAGCCCCAGGGCAATTGAAGATGATACGCGGCGTTGAGCAGCGGAGTTTTGCGAGTGGGGAAAAGAGGATGGAGAATTGAAAGCGACATTTTGACATAAGAATGAGAGCAATAAATTCACAAGTGAGCTTACTTTTACACTCCAGGAGTTGGTCGAGTGACTCTCCCCATGCCACAACATCATCAACAGGAGCCCTGCAGAGCAAAAATTGCATAACATGTATATCTTGTCAAACACATGTACATATTGTGATAAAGACAGAGGCATTATATAATCCAAAGTGTTGTTCTTTTCAGAATAAGTGATGAGTAGTCAATGAGATGTCGTCAAATGTAACTGTTGTAGTGTATTGTCATTTTTATGAACCTAATAATTCATTTAATGAATCGAAAAAAAGTAAGGGCAACCATCATTTTATCATATTTCTAATTCTATAGGAAAAAAATAAAATCAAACTCACATTGTGGCTCCTTATTTGATTACCAGGTATCAGATAGTCAGTGTTGTTCACTTGTGGAGGGCTTTCTCCTGATCACAGTCCCTTGCAAATAGAAGATAGAAATAGCATTAAAGATGGGTTCAAAATTATGTATGGAAATCGTTAATCAATTCATCCTCAACATTAACAATAAGTGATTTGGTGACATGTAAGCAACTATCTGACAAACAGCAACAGATCAATAATTGATAAGTGTATATTTTGAGTTGTCTTGATTATTGAATCTTCTGTAAACATTGACAGGCGCACCAAAAAAATATTGGCCTAAATTGTTGCTGTCTATACCAGCACCCTATAAAAAGATGGCCCTTGTCTCCAGAGGCTAATCTTTGTCAGCCAATGGTGACCAACATCAGGAATAAAAATGTCAAAATTATGTTTATAGTTTGTTCTGCTTCCCCTAAGTTGCCAGAAATAAACAAATGAGGCTCTGAGCAGAATACTGCCATGAAAATGTTGACCACCTTGTAGAAAATGTTGAGTCACAATCTCACAAATAAAAAGGAAGTATATTTTTATATAATTTACTTGACTAACTAAATAACATTTCTCAGTGCTTTATTATTAATGTTATATATAATCGAGGTATTATGAATGTCATTATCGACACATAAGCAGCATTAAATGTTGTTGTTATTTAAGGTGGAGCACATTTTCAAGAGAAAAAAACGTGGGCATTAATTAAATATAATTATTATGTGAACAGATTTCACTGTACTGTAACTGTATTAGGTTAGTTGAAAGCAATAATATCAAGTTTAAATACGTTCAACTTAATATTGTTGATTTCAACTAACCAAATACAGTTATGTAAAATGCATTGAGTTAATACATTTAATTAAATTTCACGTTTTAGATGTTTCAGTGTATTTTATATGTTAAATAGCTTAATCTGCTATAGAACATAATATTTTACAAGGTAATCATATGTTTGGTATCTGAGAAGTGATAAATGTGGTTGTCGAAAACTGCCAACATTTCTATTGAAATATAGCAGGTTGTATAGCATAAATGAAAGTTAAGAACTTCATAATTAGCAAATGAGTGAATGGTTAGTAGTTACTGTTCCATAATCACACACAAGGCTTTCATTAAAAACGTATCTTTGTTTCAATGGCCACATCATTGTCTACCTTGATGGTATATTACAATTATAATGTTGTAATATTCTCTGGGAATCACTTAAACCACTGAGGGGATTGAATTCACTAAAATCTTATTTCTGTTAGTTTAATTGTAGCTTGTCTGCAATAAGTCTGATTTATTTGAGCATAGCAGCCGCTAACAGCCAACATATCAGTATTCCCTTGTCATTAGTTTACTTGTTCGTAAATCCTAAATTAGAAGATAATTTAACGATCCCTATGGAGAAACTGGGTTATTGCAGCAGAGAATCAGACAAGAATAAGTCAAAGCAGTGAATGTAATACAAGGAATTACAGCAAGTGAACATGCTGTCGTGCAGCAAATAAATAAAGAACTAACATCTGCACTGACAGACTTGAAGGCTGAAGTGGATGTGCAAGAGCTGCTCTCATAATCTGATTTGTGGATGGGATAAGATGTAAAGAATATGTCATATTCAAATCAGAGCACAGATACAACAGCTTCTATGTTTAGAGAGCGATGGAGAAGTAGTTTAAACCAGTCCATTGTATGCTCACCACATGGTAGGAGTTGCTAAAGAATGAACTTATTTTATGTCAGATAAATCATGGAGTAATACAAGTCGTAAAGACATGAATACTTATCTCTACTGCCAAGCCAAAGCTAGCTGTTAGCACTTAGCATCACTCAACAAGAAAGTGTGTTACAGTATAGTCATTTCGTGACTATAACAGGAAATGCCGTGAGAGTGGGTTGTGCTGTGACAGGTGTCCAACTAACAAATAATTACTGACTAGAGCTGACGTCTTAATGATATATATATATATCTTGACAGAGTTCACAGAGATACAGTGACAGTTACTTTCCCATCAGAGTCTGTCTTATTCTGTTGCTCATTCAGTGGGGTTTGTCTGGGAAAAAGGTGTTTGGAAATGTCTTTAAAAGATAAAGTTAAGCAATAAGACTTACTGACAAGCCACTGTCTCTAGCTTTGTGTGTGTGTGTGTGTGTGTGTGTGTGTGTGTGTGTGTGTGTGTGTGTGTGTGTGTGTGTGTGTATGTGTGTGTTTGCAAATCAATATGGTCCATGTGGTTAATGTTATAAAACTGTTTTTTAAATGTGGCTTTTAACAGTAGCAGAACAATGTTGCGAATGGGGGCTGTTCATGAGAGCCCTGTACCAGTTACAAATGACTAGCAAAGCATACATTGCTATGATTTTAATAGATGACTAGGTAATTGGTACAATTTAAAAAGATGAATATGCAAAACACAAAACAAATTGCATGTCTGTAGGTGCAGGCTTCACACTGAACTTTTTCTTTTTCCAACCAAGCAACATTTCAAATATTGTTCAAAGCTAAAGAAGCCTCGTTCTTAATGTTTCTAGATCCTTGATTTTGATGGCTAATGCTACATTCCAAAAAACTTGCAAGAAAGCAAAAGAACGCCATTCAATGTCAAAGTTCTTACTTGTCATCTATGGGCAAATACATCCGTCCTCGACTTCATGAAAAAGCAGTTGTCAGACATCATATACCAGAAAGAAAGAAAGAAAGCAAAGGTTGGAAATGATAGACCATCAACTAAAAGGCAATTGAAAGTGAATTTCTCTGAACATTTACTAAAGTAATAAATACTGCCAAAATTATTTGGTATACAGTATGGTTAAGGTAAAAAAATTATCTTCACAAAAGTTATACGGGAAAAACGTTAAAATAAAACTTGTGGAGGCTGAGATGCTGGGAGTTCAATTGAGTTTAAACTTGTCAAAGACTGCTCGGTTTGTCACAGTCGGGCGTGGTATTTTAGATTCTGACCTCCAAGTTGTCTAGAATGCAGCATTAGCTCAGTTGCCCTAGTACTGTCCTCATTAATGGCTGAATTCCTTTAAGGTTTGACGTTAGCTTTGATTAGACCCTTTCTTTTGCCTCAAAGTTGTTCATCCAGCAAAATTGTATGAACATGCCATAGAGTTTTGTCAGCTTTAACAGTGTAGCTGTGAGCTGAGAGATGTGTTATCAAAAAGGTCCTCAGAAGTAAGGGACAAGGCATCAGAGAAAAGGCTATATCCCAATGTAGCAATGTTTTTTTTTGGATTGCATCACATAGAGCAGAGAGCACATCCAGCTAAAAATAATTCTCCCTCATCTTTGGACCTTTTTCATGTTTTCTAAGGGAGGAAAGGAAGGAAAGAAGAGAGCTGGGGGCATGTGAGAAGCACGGAGCAACACAGAAACACAGCAACTTTAAATAAAACCACACAGATCACAAGAGCCCCATCGGAAACACTTGCTCACAAACTCGCAGACAAGAGAGAGCCATCCACAAAACACATCCAAGTTTTCTTTTGGCAACATTTCGCCCGGGCAAGATCAGAGAAAGTCTGTCATTACCGAAGAAAAAGGCAGTCTGGAGGGGAAGTAAAACATTCAACATGTTCAACAGTCTCTAAATACTCAGTGCCAGACAAACAGTGTGTCGAAATTCTCAAAGTTCAAAGCCAAATTGAAGCTCATACTTACAGCATATGTTTTCTCTGGACAAAAGAACTGTATGTTTCGTTGATCGCGCGCAACAAAACACGATTCAACTTCTCAGGCTTCTTTTCCCATGTTTGACTAACCCTACGGGTACAAGCCCATGCATGTTGAGAAGTAGCTCAGGCAGGCCTAGAGTTTACAGAAATGTCAACTTTATCTCATTACTTTTTCACCTCAAACGCCCTCCACCGTTAAACAAGTTTTACTTCTTCCTTCAATTGCTTTACGTGGTTGGAAGTCTTTCTTTTTTTGAACCAACAACCAAACAAACCTTGTAAAAATAAAAACAAGACTTTAAGCAAATAATTTGTTTCCAATGCAAAAACAGTAGGAGAAAGGAAGGCAAGGCTGTGTCTTACCCTGCCCTGATAATACAGCCTGTAGATTTGTAAGCATAATCATGTACTTGGATGTGTGACAAGTGTGCACATCTGACAAAGAGATGTCTAAAACACTGTTACATTTAGTATAGGAAACATTTATTTCAATGGAAGTTCCACAGGTTATCAATCCATGAATAGGCTAACTGGTACAACTACAGAGCTAGTTGCTAGTTAAAAAACAAGAACCAAATGATCCTAAAAGAACTTCAATAAAATAAATAACTATAATAACAAGAGCATTTGGAGGTGGACCTTTTCCACTGCTGTAACTTCCCTTTATTATTCAGGAATATAAAAATGGTGTCAGTGTATTTCTACTTGTAAATTAGACCTCTAAATCTATCAAACATGCAGTTCTTGACAGGTATCGCAGGATTCTTCAGCATTTCATGGTTGCACAACTCACCTCTGGTTATGGCACTATATTTTCCTTAACACGTTATTTGAAACATTTCACTATGTAGGAATCCAGACATGGGGACTGGAATGAGGAGACTCTTTGACCCAGATCACACAAAACCCCCATGACAATCATACTCTCTGGAGACAATTGGTGGGAGGAAGAAGCAGATGCTCAACTATCAGGCAGAGGTGGGATGCAATATCTTCATCTAACATAGAGGGAAGGGGAGAGGGATGGGGCTATGAAAATGACTGATGGGAGCACAAATGGTAGAGCTGTGATTGGGAGGGTGGGGGAGGGAGAAGAGGGACAACGCTGACAGCTGAGCGGGCCTACCTGTCCGCCTATCTCTCGTCTTCCGTCTTGATTTGCAAGTCCTCGACGGGACACTTTCCCCGGCCGGCCTGGAAAACAAGAACAGGTGTCATAAAACTCCGCTGTGACTGGGATTTGCATCTGTAATGACCCCACTGGAAATGCAGAGTATGATGTTCGCAACAAAAACCTGTCAAACACGCTCTCAGAGGGGTATTCATCACTGACTCAGCTGCGTCCTGTCTGTTTTCCTATCACTTAGCGATGATGGAAAACAGTTTTTCTGTCTTCTAACCACAACAGCGTGTTGTTCATCTTCACATTTTCCTGAATGTCCTCAACTTTGTGTTAATTTCTGCTGTCAGATGTACATGTTAAATGACTTTGAATCGAGACACGCTGGATTTGCATTGTTGAAAAATATTTCACAACGGCTGGCTGTGAGAGGTTTTAGAAATTCAAAACCGGACTGAGTGACTCACACATTTGTGTTTCCCTGATACCATCACATATGTTTCATATTCATGAGCAGACATCTGCACAATTCCTTAAGTGTATGTAGATCACCTGTAACAGCTACATTATTCTCTTATAGCCATACACAGACAGGCTGTTATCTCCAATGTATGACCTCTCTTGGCGAAACATACTTCAGACCCAGCCTGGGTCAATGTGACCACATTTGTACTATATTATTTATTATATTTGTATAATGTTCATCAATGGGCTCCATCAGATGTGTAAACATTTGTTTGACTGCATAATGTTCAATGACAGCATGCGTCCATTATTGCATGCTTAAAATGTTGTTAAATACTAATAAACTATATTTTATTTATCTGCAAGTAACCATAGCAACAGTATTTCTGCTGTAACCATGGGTTAAATGGAATAGAAACATGTTTGCACTTCCAGCATGACAGCAGATATAATAAACAAGTGCAATATGCAACCCAACAGTTTAGATTCTAAACTGTTTGGGTTTATTTATATATATAGCCACTTAGCCACGCTCCTTAGCTGTGATATAATGAGCATATATACCACGGCCTGTCGTGAGCTATTGCTTAAGTATACACTACTTACACAGCACCAAGAGCTAGTTGATGACCATATAGGGATAATTTTAGCAGTCAAAAAGCACAATTCCCCCCCCCCCCCACCCCCTTCAAAACAGACCAAGCAAGAGATCGAATGTTGCATTTACATTTGTCAGGTTGCCAGAAACAAGACGGTAAATTAATGCCAATGTCTATCTTTGTGTAAATTGGCAATTGTTTGCTACTATGCTAATCATGCTTATTAATTAATATGATAATAGCTTAATGCCGCATTTAGAAGCACTAACCGCATATTCCATGTTCCCCAAGTAACCAAATATTCAATTAATTCAACATTAAAGGCCACACTTTTAAGCTAATTATCACTCAAGAGCAACTAATGAAATGCATTCAAAGCTCAATGCAAACTAAAGCACTCAACCTTGGATTAGATGAAAGGATGAGAGCAACTACTTGAAATGTATTCACAGCATTTTCAGGTACATTAACATGTCATACAGTAATTGTACATCTCACATTTCAGATAGAGCCTTTCAAAGACTCTAAATGCGTTGTTGTTGTGTTTTGTTTGGACGCCTTCCATTTTCAAAGCATTCAAATTAGAGTTTTTAATGTGTGTGTGTGTGTGTGTGTGTGTGTGTGTGTGTGTGTGTGTGTGTGTGTGTGTGAGTTGCTGAAGGACACTTTTCCCCCTGTTTATAGGACACACACTGTAAAATGGGTATATCATAAAGCATTTTCTTGATGGGGGAGAGCATCTGTTTAGAAAGTATGCATCAAGGTCTCTCCTCAATTACCCACCTTTGCTTAGGAGACCTTGATAATTAGAATGTTCATGCAAAAGTAAATTTACATACCATTATTTGAAGATGCCACATATTTGCTTGGTGAAGGCCATGGAGGGCAATGCACAGCATAATGACAACCTTGGTACAACAAGCTATATAAAGCTTCATGTAAAATCAGTTTGACTTCATTATCCATGCAGGTAGGAAGTCCTGTTGACAACATCTGACTATACCTTTCATTTCAGTTTGAAATGGATTGCTGTGTGTTTACTTTGACTATGACGTTTTTAAGAACATCACCGGCAATACTTTAAAATTTGATTTTTCGTCACAATCCAAAATCTTATATCTAATATGTCTACTGTACAACCAACGGCCTACGAATAAATAATAAATAACAAATAGAATCATACTTTATTTTGTGCCAATAGTTTTTACTCACATACTTTTGGCCATTTTATTCAAGATGTATATCTTTGACAAAGTTCTCTCAGAGAAGAGGTCAAGGAGAAACTAAATGCAATGTCGGGGGAAATTAATGCAAAAAGTTAATAAAATGATCAATCTAATTGTAATTAACTTCTCTTAGAACATATTTGGTCTGGGATTTCAATTTGTAATCAATGTAATCTCCCTCTGTCTCTCTCTGGCTCTCTGTCTGATTACAGTAGGAGACTGACTCAGACACTTGATTAGCCGTCCTCACCCTGTTTGGCTGTGTCGACCTTATTCCCTAATTACATTACGTTTGACAGAAGGCTCACAGGGCATGCCCTGCTCACTGCTACTGTAGATTGCAAATGCACCACCATGGCAAAAACACAACATTTGATTTGATTAAAACAATTATAAAGATAATACCAACAACAAGTTATAACATTTAAATGTAATTATGTTCTTTTAGGGGGGAAATGTCACATTAGGGTGGTCCTTAAAATTCTTGACAAATAGAATGAATTCTGGGGGTTGGAGCTTAGACTTTCCGACTTTCAATTTTAAGGACCATACTGAGGCTAAACTTCAAGGTTGATAAGGGAGGGGTAAATGTTGTTGGAATTTGAATACAATTCAGCAGGAGAATTTTCTGGACGGTGGTTAGAGCTTAAAATAAATGCATTTGAAAATGTACATGGCACTAAGGATCACCCTAATGTCACATGCTCTGAAAGTGCATATTTCTGTAAATAATGAGCTGTATTGCTATTTTGTTAATACAATAAAAAAAACGTATGTGAATCATTGAAAAGGGTGAAAACTATAGTGGCTATTGTGAGGACCAGGTGTAATTTAAATAAAGCTCTATACTTACTTTTTTAAAAATGGTTTCATGTATGGCGTTTTGTAGACTGTACAATGCAGCTCCACTGTGGGGAGCTGTGTTTCTTTGTCTGCTCTCTTCCTTTCCGTTTGGCTTCCTTCCTTTCTTTCAGTCTGTCTGTCTTTCCTTTTGTCCCACTAGCTCTGGCACATGGCATAATACACATTGGCTGTAGGCCGTAGTTGCGCATGTTAAAAGCTCAGCTGGGAAGTCACAATCCCTCGGACTGATGCTCTGTGGCCTCAGTGTTTCACAAGTCTCTAGCTTGGACCGACCATCTGGGTTAGGGGGGGGGAGGTGGTGTGCGTGTGGAGAGGAGGCGTGTGTGATGTGAGTGATGGAGTGTAGGCTGTAGGCAGACAGGTGTGTGTATGTAAAACTGTGTGTGTGTCTGTTCCTGTGCGTGCATGTGTGTTGATTCTTGAATTTGCATTCATCACGCAGAGTGGTAAAATTATCCATCAAAGCAAGTCTGAACTGTACAGGTGTGTGTGTGTGTGTGTGTGTGTGTGTGTGTGTGTGTGTGTGGTGGGAGGAGGGTAATCTCTCTGTTGATCTTCATGCATATGCAATGATCCTCTACTGTGTGGGCAGCGCTTGAATTAGGAAGAAAAAGGGTGTGTGTCAAATAAGCATCTACACAGCGTGCATCTTTTATTTGTAAATAGCGTTTTAGTCTTCTTTAAGTGGAGCAAAATGAATGAATATGGAACACCATACAGTAGTCATATGCCTTGTTCTTATATTGAAATGCAACTTTTTTTTGACTAGATTTTATTTTCTTATCCTTGACATTTTCGTAGATGTTTGCGATTAAAT